GTCACTAGCTAACTGCTGAGGACGTCAAGAGCTTTGTGAACGGCAGAAAACTTCCCAGACGGAGTTACTAGCTAATTCAGTAACTTCACCCGGATACAGGGAGCTATCAGCCCGCTGCTGAAAACATAAACTCACAGGGCGCACATCGACACTTACCAGTAAAAAGACAACTCGACAAAGTCATTTACACTCGCTAATGACTACTGCGAGCCTCCATATTGTGAAGAAAAACTTAAACATTCAGACAACAACTCGCTGCCTCTTCGGACAGAGGTGTTGTTTATAAACAGCTCCCAGTACGTCCGCGAATAGTTTCCGACCACAATCAGCAGCCGCAGAACATAATGTTCCTCATCACTACCCCGTGATCCCTGTTCTGATAGCGAATCAGTGACATGTTTCTAAAATAATACTCTCGCTGACGGTAGTGTTTATTTCCCCCATCGGTCACATTTTATTGCTTCAGGAAAATGACTGTTTACCATCTGTTCTTCATCTAAAAAAAATTAAAAGATTTGCACACTCAATTTCTTACATTAAAAAAATTAGGATGCAGTAGCCACTAGTTTCACCCTGCCCTCCAAAAAGCCTTATTTATCTGAATATTGTTATTAGATTTATAACAATATATTTGATGTTCTTTGTTAAAGATAAACGATGACATAACAGCGAAACTGACCAGTTAAATTAACACAGATATCAACTTTTTGTGGCTACTTAACATTTCTAAGCTGGTTGGGGTTTTGTTCGGGCGTTTGGACTTTACAGCTTAGTCATTTCCAAGCTGCTGGCCTCAGCCCATATATGTGGTCATACTGTTTTTTAAAATACACTGTGAAAGTGAAAATGTATGACATTTCAAAAATGTGTCACGGCCCTTTCTTTTTTTCTTTTCTTTTTTTTTTTGCTAGCCAGACATTTAAACTAAAATGAACATGTGCTACAAATAAATAAATACAAGTTAGAAATGCTAGATTGTTCACACTTGCGCGTCTTCCACACCGCTTTTTACCGTGCGTGAAACAGCATCAATCCTGTGGAAGGAAACATTAGATGTGATATTTTTTGTCTGTGTTGCGTTTGGAAGAAAGACTGGGGTTCCCCCTCCTCTACTGTGAGATCAGCCAGCGTGAGTGGGTCTATTGCATGTTTCCACTTCTATTCTTCAGCACCTTTTACCTTTGACATTTAGGCCAACCCCCCACACACTCTTCTCTCAGCGGATGCTCCAATGCGAAGGGCCACAGCACACAGTCCCCAGCTACAGGGGATTTCCCCTGGTGCTGTACACATGTTGTTAATGTGTGTGTGTGTGTGTGTGTGTGTGTGTGTGTGTGTGTGTGTGTGCGCGTGTCTTTGCTTGTATGTGTTTGCTTGTGTTTATGCCAGTGTGTCTGTCCACTTTCAGGGGACTCCCAGACTTGCAGACTGAGGGGGAGGAGGGAATAGAGCTGACAGCCTAAGTAGCAAATCATCATCAAAAATGTTTCTGTCTCTGTGTTTGTGGAGACAGAGAGAGAGAGAGAAGGAGGAGGAGGAGGTGTCTGAGCGTGTGTAAGTTGTACCCTTGATGTGGGCACATCAAGGGTACTTACAAAGAAGAAGCATGTCCCGTTATGTAAATCATTCAAGTCTAAGGTGAAGACTTGCTGTGAGGTTATGTTTATGTCAGGGATGTCAAACTCATTTACATCAAGTGGGCTGGACCAGTAAAACTGCCCTTTCTGTCAGTTATAATATACGAACATTACATGAAATTTCATCAGCAGTTCCCAGTTTTTCTACACGATAAAGAATGGCTGCTGTAGGAAATGAAAGAAATGTGTCAGCATGACTCTTTGGGCTTAAACTGTAAGAAATAAATCTGTAAAATTACAGGAAATGTTCTGCTAGCTTGTTGCTCAGACTGTGATTTAGGTTTAAAACAAAGAATTTTTCCTTTTTTTTAAAAACCATTGTAAAACACAATTTCTCTTTCACATTTTCCAAAGCTGTCCAGTGGGCCGGTTTAGAGTCTCTGATGGGCCAATTCTGGGCCCTGGGCCTTATGTTTAACACCACCGGTTTAAGTGAATAGTCGGAATCAGTGATTTGGCGTGAATGAAACACCACCGTGTGTGTTTAAACATGTGTCGTTTTGGGTCCCAGGAGGTGCCATTTGTTTCAGTCTAATCCGGGAGGTCTGTCAGCAGGAGAGGAAGCAAGCAGGGAGCTCCGTTCATGTCTTACCTCATGAATCTTTACTGGTTTTTGTTGTGGCAGGTTTGATTAGCACATCCTGATGCCTCGGTGGATATGGGCCTGGGTTTTTTTTGTCATGGTAGACTTTGTGACAAGTCATGGTAGGAAAGCACAGGTGTTTCTAATAACATTAACTATGGCAGGTGGTCCAATAAGCCAGGACACTGCTTCCACAAAAAGCAGACATGAACCTGAAGCTGCTACATAAACATAGTCATGATTTTAATTTCCCTGCCCTCTTGATGTGTACATGAAAACATGCTTGCTGTTGTTTATACATGGTTTTATGAGAAGAACTTATGAATTGAGAACCAGAAGAATACATGCTTTGAATCTGTGAGTGTGTGTGTGTGTCTATATGTTCTAATGGGACCTCTAATTAAGACTCTGGGTATCTGCTATCTGTCAGCACTGATCGATCGGCTTGGAGAGTGACAGCTCAGCGTGTGAGTGTGTCTGTGTGTGTGTGTGCGTAGATTTTGCTCTTCATGCTCTCTGCTTCATGTCATGTTATTTTACATGTAACACAGTTGTAGGAGGAATATTAACACTTCATTCATTTTCTTTCGCATGTACACAATCACACCACTTTTTTTTTTAAAAAAGAAGACAAAAGTGTGAATGTTTTTTTCCTGCATACTCATTAAAAAACACATCACAGTCCCCACGCACCTTCCCCCAAACCAAAGGAGGGTGAAGTGTTGGACAGATATTTGTTGTTATGTGCCACATGCACTCACAAACACACAGAATTATAAGTAATAAACTGATAATGTTTGTGGGCATTTCCAGGTTAGTATGTGTCACTGAAAGCCATTGCGCTTCATCTTTCTAAAATGGTTATTTTATTCACAAAGGGGAAAGTTTAAACATCATAAAACAGAAGAGGTGGTGGTGCGTGCTCACTCTTTACTTTTTTGTGCACTTTCTTCTGCTTCTACCCACTTCTTCTTTTTCCCCCGCACACATGTACAGGTAGAGCTGTTCACAATTGTCTAACAGTTGCTATCAATCACCTGGCTGTTAGAGACAGAGAGTGTGTGTCTGTGTTAGCGGTAACGCTGTTGTGCAGGACGGCAAGTGAGTGATGGCGGTAACAGTATAGACGGCATGTGCTGTGAAATGTCACCGTGCCGATCGATGGTGTTTAACGAGGCTGGAGGCTGATCTGGACCTCATGCTAACATGAAGCTCTTCTCCCCGCCCTCTTCCTCCCCCTCCTCACTTTCCTAATCCCTCTCTACTCTCTGTGAGAGCCTGAGGGTCCCCCAGGAGAGAGACAAGGCCTTTTACCTGTCAAGAGGCTTTTGTGTCTGACAAGTCACACACACACACACACACACACACACACACACACACACACACACACACTTTAAAAAAACATGTAAAAATGTGGCTGAAATTTGATGTTTTGTTACCTTATATAGAAAACAATATTTTGTTTGTGCTTTTTCTTTTTTTTTGTCAATGAATTATAAAGAATCAAAACACAAGACACAGCCGGGGTCAGAATAATCAGAACTAGTTTATGATTTCAAAGTGCTGAACAGAAAATCCAGTGAACCAAAGAGAAAGAAAAAACAACAACATATCGAACAGGAAACTCTAACCAAAGAAGGACATTGAAAAAACAGCAACTTTTTTTCTCTTTTTTTGTTTCTCTTCAAAAAACAATGCACAACTCGTACCACAATATTTGAAAAAGCTAAAAACACTTCAAAATATTAGTTTTGTATATATATATATATATATTTATATATATTTATATCTATAGAATTTGATTTTTTTTATTTATTTTAAAACCGTCGTCATGAGGGTGTGAGTGGGTGGTGGAGGCCCTGGGGAGATTCCCATGGAGCTGCAGTCTGAGACACAAACACAGGTCGAGCTGTTTTGACAGGCTATGCCAGCTCTCGACAGCTTATAACACACCATGCATATGATCCTGGCTTGTCTAAGCGCACACACAAAGACGGTAGGCGATCATGTCCTCCACACTCACACAGCCGCCGCGATATATAAAACGATAAAGAAAAAGAGCATGAACGTGGAATGTTTCACCCCTGGACGTACAGCTGTCTGTCGAGCACCCTCCTCTCCCTGTCCCCCAGGCGAGCAGGTAGGGTGTGTGTCTGTGCTTCTAGCCCCTCTCAGGGTGTAAGTGCTTCCAAAGCCAATTTCTGTCCATGTTCATTCCTCCACACTTCTACTCGACCTATGATTTCAAACTGAGTTAATAAAACAAAAAAAAACAAACAAAAAAAAAAAACCACATAGTAGAGAAAGTTCAAGTCTGGGTGACTCAGTCATCGATCGTTAGTGCACAGTATCTCCTCTGCTGTCTAAAGCAAGATGGGAGACTGTCTTTCTTTTTAGCTACTGACAGTACAGGACAAGTTTTTGTATTAAAATAATTTAGAGTTTGAAATTAGATTTCCCCTCCTCCTCCATCCCTTCCTCTTGTGGCGCGATAGCACTTAAGGAATTGCACTTGTAATTAAGAGCCCGCCTCAACAGCCACTTCCATGTGTTTATGAAACACCTGTGTCCTGCGTCGTAACATTTTGGCCCACCTACGCCTACGCCGCTCCACCTCTGACATGTCGGCACATTTCGGAACGATCACCTCCCCCTCCCCGCACTCTCTCTTTTACATCGCCACCTCTCCCAGCCCTCCTTTCTAAATGGAAGTCCTCAGACAGAACGAGCCAGGCCGAAACACAGATAAACAGTACTCATGAACGTCGGTTCTTTCTTTGTTTTTTTTTGTTTTTTGTTTTTTTTGCCGAATAAGCTGCAACCCAGATGGAGCGAGGACAGTCAAAAAAAAAAGAAAAAAAAGTCACTTTTCTCCTGTCCATCTCAGCCTCATCATCCTTCCCCCTCCTCCCAGCGTGGGGCGAAACAGGAGGACCAAATAAAAAGTGGTAAAGCGTTTGAGTAATTGTCTTTTATACAGGTGAAAAGCATTTAGCTGGTAGTCCGTTTGAGTGAAAGGCGCTCTCGTTTGGTTGTCCCCGTCGAGTCAAAAATATTAGATTGGCTCTCCGTGCGCTGCATCAGTCTTGAGAGAGAGAGAGAGTGCCTCTTCTCTCTCTTCTGGGTGTGTTTGCATGCTCCTTTGGGGAAAGGCCTTGACAGGACGTGACGTGGGTTCATTTTGCTGCATGGTTAGCCCGAGTCGTCAGTAGGGCAGAGTGTCCAGGAACCTGTCAATCAGTGGCGGAGGCGCTACCAGATCCTCCAGCTTCAGGTAGAAGATTCGCTGAAGGCCTTGGGTCCTCTGGGAACGAAGCTCTTCCCTTATACCCAAAATACGACTCAGAGAAGGTGCGGCTTTGGACGAGGAGGATGAAGGACTGCAGCCCAGGTGGTCTCTGAGACAACAGATCACTTTATTCTGCAACTCCTCAACCCGCTTTGAGTCCTTCAGACCGGGCATTTGCTCTGTAGATTCGCAAGAAAGAAAGACGGAGAAAGAGATGTTAGGAGAATAATCATTAAATGGCCAAAATAAAGTCAGTGGGGAAAAAAAATACACACACATATACATACATCAGAGCTCATTCAGCTGAAAGAGCATTAGCTACATCTTCTTTTATATTGAATTCCACCTCATTAGCCCGTATGGCTCATGTTCTTAACAGGCCTTAACCTGGCTCATTCACTACAGATCAATACTCAGTCTAATCTAATAAGCCCCCTTCTCACTGGTGTACGTCCACATGCACGGCTATATGAGCACATTTTTTATTTTCTTTTTTTAAACATTTGCACAGAAAAAAAAGTCAGTGCAATTTCAGAAATTAAGACAAAGAGCAGAACAGAAGTGCTCAACAGTTAGCTGATTATGTGGCCCTGTGAGCAGCAAAATGAAATTAGAAATGCACACACTGCTGCCCATAGCAACTCCAGTGGCACTCGTACAAGGCTTAATGTGACACTAACTCATTCTGCAGAGAACAGGGTGTCCAGCCCCCCAAACACAAACACACACATACAGGCACACTACGAGCTGTGCTGCAGGGAGGCTGCCACTAAGACCCGTCTCACTTTGAGGTATCCATTATCCGAAGCTTATTTACTGTTTGTTTATGTGACTCTTTTGTTTGTTGTGTTTGCCGCTGCAGAGTCACTCCGGCCCTCCTTTCAGCGCGGCTTTCAGACCTCTCGCCACACAATTCCGCTTCCCTGTCTTTCTTCCCGCTCTCCCTACCCCTTCTTTCTCTATGAGCGTGAGCTCCCGGGGAGAGATCGATGACTGCCTTTCTGCACAGGCCACTCTGAAGCGGTCGATCGCCTGGTGGCTCTGGTGGCTCTGTCGTGGCTTTGCGCTGTGTGCTTTGCCGAGGTGGCAGAGCGCCACTGAGAACACCGCAGACGCCATTCCAGAGCCGCGCTCCACGGTGGGCTGGTCGATCAGGAACAGAGTTAAGTGCTCCCCCAGAGGGTGAGGATGGGGTTGGAGGGCTCAGACAGAAAGAGGTTGAGGAAGAGGAGGCGGCGGGGGCAGGGTGAAATAAGGAAGCTAAAAGCAGGGGGAGGGGGATTTTTTTATTTAATTTAATTCTTTTTTTTTTTAGCTACTGCACATTACTTTACAGCATCCAACACCCTAAAACTGTTTTAAAAAGATGAATATAAACACTTAACTGCAGACTAGTCTCTGTCGCCTGATGCATTTTACTTAAAAAACTAAATCTGCCTCGCCTGCAGCGTGTGTGCTCTCAGAGCAGGCTGTGATTCTCCTTTCATTTTTCACACATGAACACTGATTAGAGGGCCAGGTGTGTGGCAGGTGCAGCAGGTGCTTCTGGGTATCAGGTTCTTGTTTCGGGGCAGAGATGTGTGGGAACACGCATGCACATGTGTGTCTTTAAGCGTGTGTCTGACGTTAGAGGATGTGTCCACCTGATCACTGTCACACTGAATCACCAGGAGGCAAAGCTCCGGACAACAGGAAGATGCTGTGTGTGTGTGTGTGTGTGTGTGTGTGTGTGTGCGCGTGTGTGTGTGTTTGCGCGCGCGAGCGAGCGTTTTATCTGTATATTCATGTTCAGCTTAAATGATTCGCAGTGTTTATGAGGAGTGGAGAGGCGATGTTAATAACTTTGAGCACAGGTGACTATATGCAACCACAGAATTAGGACCCCTTGATTCTTGTTCCTCTCGCTAGTAAGCTCGTGATTGAAAATCTGTGGTTACCTGTGAGCAGCACAAGGGCGGCCAGGCAGGCGAAGGCAGAGGTATCCAGATTTAGGTTCTGGAGGTGAGCGGAGAATTCCTGGATGGAGTCCAGCCACTCTCCGAACCCACGAAGGCACTGGAACCTGTGCAGCACCAAGCCGTTACAGAACACTAGTTTATCCTCCGACAGCATCGATCTGAGGAACCGAGAGAAAGAGGAAGGGGGAAAAAAAAAGAAGGAAATGGTGGACTGATTAGATCGCCGTTTTCCAGAGAAAACTGTATTTTCCCTCATGTATTGTAAATATAGCTTGAGATGCTGGGGCAAGGAAACAATTACAATAAAAAACAATGAGAAACCTGGCAGTGTGCGCACTCACGCAGAAACGGGACACACATCAAACACAAGCATGCAGCTGATTAAGGTTGTGTTTCCAAATTACAGCATTTTAAAACATTCCTGCGTTTCCTTGCGGCAGGGTGGGGTGAAGGGTTAGGGCAGAGGGTTGCTCTGTGTGTGCGTGTATATTTGCAGATAGATAAACTGTTATGGCTTTAATGTGCCCAGGCTGTGGTGTGCAGTGGAAACACAAGGTTTTAATAAGGAAATGAAAAGTCTTCTCAGATGTATTTAACCATCACTTACTCACGACACACAACATCCCACTTCTTTGACATCAAGCAGAGAAGGAGGGAGAGAGAGAGAGAGAGTGCAAGCAGAGGATGATGGAGACCTATGACTGGTCTCTATTAGTCTCTAAAATAGGAGCCCGCTCTTCTTTGGAGAGCTGCAACTGTGTTTAGTTGAAGAAGGATAAACTATGAGAGATGGAAGATCTAGGGGAGAAAGTGTGTACTTGGAAAACAGATGATATTAAAGAGAGAGAGAGCAAAGAGGGGGATTAGTGTGGAAAGGGAGGAAAGCCTCAAATTGCACCCTGCACAAACTTTGGTTTGGCAGTTATGAGGATAAACTGCAACGCTATTTGTGTCTAATTAGACTCAGTTCAAAAGAGACACGCCGTTAGGCCAGACACATGCACATACATGAGAAAGCATTAACAACTAACATCAAAAACAATTAGCACCAGCGATCGGGACCAAAATATTCTTTGTACTTCCAGGAAATCACAAGAAGAGAGCACAGAGAAGAAAGTGAATAACAGGAAGAGGTTGAGAAACGATGCCCCTCACCTATTCTCACCTATTGCTGGGGAAGAACAGCAAATTTGTTTTTGATTTCGATCCCTCGTATCATCTCCTGTAGGCTGAGGTTGAAGTCCTGACTTCTTGTCAAACATCTCTCACAGAACAGATTCACCTAATTTCTCATTGCTGCACGAGGTGCGACCTTAATGTTCCGCATGTGAAACTCAAAACTTGTACTTGGCTGATCAAAGTTATATCATTGAGCACCCTTGAAGCCAGCAAAATTCATATTTTTAGATCACTCCCTGGAAGTTCTGCTCTGAACTCCTGCACCTGTGCGCCTGCGATTACACCCGGGGCCTCAGACTTGCACACAGACCACTTAACTTCTGTGTCAAACTGGCCCCACGGTCATGTTGGGGCTCATCGCTGGTGATGAAAGCTGGATCTTCTCTTATAAACAAAAAAGCAGTTTTTAGTGGAAAGGTCTGCAGCATTCAAGACCAAAGGTACCGCAGTAGACGACTGGAGGGATGATCGTCGTTTACGTTCCACATTCCCCATGTTGTGCCTCGTGAATTTGCAGGATTTGACTGTAATGCACTGAAGGCATCTGAGGGAGGAATATTCAACACAGACAACCAGACCAGCACAGTCATTGCTCACTTTTCCCCGAAATAAAATTAAAGCTGAAGTGTTTCTGATTTGATCGAGCGTGTATCACAGGGGCACAGGAGCACAATGTGATTTGAGGGACTAAAATCAACAGCATTGCTCCAGAACACCTCTTGAAGGGGAGATCGGTCAAAATTCAAAACTTTATTAAAAGTTTAGCGTCAGCAGGGTCATTTTTGGAGAATTTCGCGAACATGAGCGTGAACAGTCCTCGTCGATGCACGTTTGGTGATGTATATTAGTACCTGTTATTTCCACAACATACCGGCTGTATTTCTGTGATTAAGTAAACACAGAGCTGACCAAATAATATCTCACAGGACCATTTCACCCGTGTGAGATAGTGCCACTGGAGCAAAAATACACAGACAGGCTGGTAGATGCGTATCTAGGCAGATGCACGCACGCACACAAGCACAGGTGGATGTCTGCCACACATTCCACTCACCCCTGACTACGCTGTCACCACGGTAATCGACCAATAACCACAGAAACTGTTAGGTAACGGGGTGCTTACAGCAATGCCGGCCCAGAAGAACGAAGCAAATTTACTCTATGCACTCTGAGCACACACTCACAAGCACACAGACGCACGCTTGAGTGAGGGTCTGCGGGGCATCTAGGTTCAGCACGGGGTCAGCGAGGAGATGCGCTGCATCCATCGCTCCCATGGAAGACAGAGAAAATAAGACAGCGCTGTGTTTGTGTGCATTTTCCTCTCTGCCGTGGGAGTTTGGCCGATTGGAAGATGAGCAGTGTGTGTCTGTGTGTGTACGTGTGTTTGAAAGAGGCCCCTATGAGTCCACCCTTTAGAGTGAGTCAGAGTCTCAGCCTGATCACCCCTCCTGCTGGGACTGTGATGGCACCGCCCATCCTCTACCCACCCTGCACCTGGACCTACGCTGGGAGGAGGACAGAAAGTTGGGATTCTACATCATCAGCGAGTGTGAGTAAGTGTGCGTGTCTCACTGTGTTGGTCTTCTGCCCTAGACGACAGCGCAGACAAAGAGATGAGCTTGTAGCCCCCCACCACCGCCACCATCTTCTACCCATAAATTTAACCAGCCGCATGCCTTGCAAGAGCAAACTGGTAACCCAGGGTAATTCTGAGGCAAAGATGGGCCGGGGCAGTCACAATGGCACCACAGGTATCCATCAGTGAGACACACACGTGCTCTCTTGCTCAAACACACACACACACATACATACATCAGGGGGCGCATGAGGTAAATGAAGCCCATTGTGTTTTTATGTCGGTCAGCTGAACTGAATATGTATTTCCTTCCATAACAGCGGCTCTTTTCAGTTACTCAGCTGACTAACTTTGAGATGGAAATTGATCTTGTCAATTCACAGTTCACAATGTTAGCACAGTTTTAGCCCGCAGAACACACACACAGATCTCTCTGTGCGTCAGATATCAGACGAGCAGAGCGGAACTCTGTGGGTGTAGCTGCTGTCATAGCTACAGACTCCATTCATAATTTGGTTCATATGGCGATTACTCAGCTCCACTCCTCCCACTCTGGAGATACACCAACACAGCAGCACACAGCTTTGCCAGCACAGTTATGCACTGTACTTTAATCGGAAAGGGTTTAAGTGCCTCTTGTTTCTGAGACGCTAAGCAAAACAAAGTTGCCCGTACAAGTGTAAGTCGGTGTGGTTCAAAAGCTTGAGAGGTGTGCATAGGAGTGGACATCCAAGTTTAAAACAGGTGTTAAAAGAGGCTCCATTTCTGCCTAGTTACCTGTGAGCCAATCGCAGCACAAACAGCTCCAGGAAGGCGGAGTCTATGAGCAGGTTCTGATCGTCACGCTGAAGCTCGGAGAAGCCGGGCAGCCTCTCCGCCCAGCACCTTGTGGTCTCCATCGAGATGGTGAGTAGCCTGTAGAAGAGGTGGATGTGTTCGACGTCCGAGGAGGAGGATGGCGGGTCGGCAGCGCTGAACTGCAGATCAAGAAAAGAAGAGAAATTACTGAAATAACTTGTAAACTATCTGTATTCGAAAATAAACTAATGCATTTCTCCAGTTGAAATGAATTGTTAAGGGCATGGGTTACCTGGCTGTAGTCAAGGTCACGAGGTGTGCAGTGAGAATAAGCCCTGAGCAGAGCAGAGAGGAGGCTGAGGGGTGGAGAAGGAGGAGATGCCTCCGTCTGCAGGGGGCTCTTTGGTTTGGAAGGCAGACGACCTCTACGCCCCTTCAAGCTGTCAGTACGCACCACTAAAACAGAGAAACACAGAAGTTGGACGTGGAAATATAAACTCTGCATGCACAGTCAAGTTCTACCGTCCAGCGGACCGGCTTGATATCAGCTTTTCATCACAGCGAAATAACAACTAAAAGGTTGGGAGAGCTCTCTGCAGGAGTGCTCCCAACATTGCCACGATCTCCACACACAGGAGGCCACGAGCCAGCAGATGGCAGTGGAGCTGTTCTGCAGGCTGTAGACGGACGTGTGTTAATGCAACACAGAGACATCCAGTATGCATTTTGTGTGGGTTTGTTTGCGTTTATGCATGTGGATATGTGGGTGGGGGTATTACAGGGTGTGAGACAGGTGACAAACCTCATGGGAATGGGGGCAGTTTGAGTGTCACGCTGATTCTACACATCATCGAAACGTGTCTGTCTGTGTGTGTGCACTATGTAGCAACAGTCAACGCATCAGATGTGGTGAACACAATGACATAACGGGAGAATCTTTGCGTAAGATGGTCAGCTTTGAGGCTCTGCTAAACAACACTGAACTCAGGGGCTTTAAAGGTGGCAGGGACTAATTGGTATGATGTGTATCATACTTTCTTCCAACCACAGACAGGCGTTTCTGCATAGACAGTTGTGTGATGCTACCACAGGCTGGGCCATTACCGGCCTATTAACCACTGACTGCAGAGACGGGGGCTATGATCACTGACTGCAGGTCTGATTAGTGTTGCATTATTAGGATTAACTCTCAAGAGTCCAATGCCACCATCGGGTCACCTTTATGACACTTGCATTGAAGCTGTTGTGTGCATATGTGCTTGTTTGTGTGTGTGTGATTCAGGTGTGTGATCTCCTACCTTCCTTCACCATCCCCACGCTCAGACACTTCTGAAAGCGGCAGTACTGGCAGCGGTTGCGTCTCCTCTTGTCCACAGGACAGTTCTTACTGGCCAGACAGACATACTTGGCGTTTTTCTGCACGGTGCGCTGGAGAAAGAAGAAACAGGCATGCCGATAATCAGCCTCCAAACACAATCAACACCTAATATTTGATTTGTTTAATTCAATTTCTCTCTCTCTTTTTCCTTGCCCGTCAAAGAATGAAAGCGAAGCTCGCAGGTCAGATTTTAATTACGCGCTGAAAGGCGGCGGTGACATCAGTATAATTAGATAAAATTAATTTCCCAACAAGCCTCGCCTGCAGGAGGGACAATTTTATTAGCGCCGCAGCTGACAATAGAGATCCAGCGCGTGGCGTGCGGAGGCGGGTCCCTTGAGACGGGGTAGAGTTGGGTGGGTGAGGTGGAGAGGGGTGGGGGACGAGCGGCCGCGAAAGCTGCCTGATCAGATTGTTTGTGAAGCTCGCGGGTCAGCTCGTGGCACCTTCGGGGCCTCGCGCATCGCGCCTCTCTCAATGGGCCCCGCGGGAGCTGTTTTCTCCTCCGCTGGCTCGCGCGATTATTACTGACCTTATTAAAATGAAATCAGAAACGGGCCACGTACGTGGGAGGGAGTGGAGAGGGGGGCTCAGCGAATACAGGGAGGACAATAAGTGAGATTGTAGTGCGCGCGCAATCCTGCGCGCTCGTGACCGCGTGAAGTCATGTTTGAAGGCAATACTTTGAACGGACCGTCCTAGTAAAAGCACGAAGTTCTTCACTCGCAGCACGAACAGACCGCAGACCGACATTATCAGTTTCAATGAGGCCCGAAGGCTCCACGCTGCCCGTGTCTGACAGGAGATTAAACTCGGGGGTGAACCTGCGATGACAACACCGTAAAACCCCCACAAATACTCACTTTACCACCGCGTTTACCCGCTGTGACTCCAGCACTCCACTCAGGCAGCGCCTATAACTGAACTGTAATTTACACATAACGGAAGTGCCACGGCTTCTTTAACGCTTCTAAAACACATCAAAACAAATAAATCCAATTAGGAACCCCTCGCGCCGCACATGCCCGTCCCCCCCAGGAGACCAATAACACACCAATTATTCCATATGCTTCGGCGCGAGTGCGGAACCGACGCGTAATGGGCGCCAGTGCCGGATGAGAGTCGTTGCCATGGCACCGCAGATCGCTGTGAATGTCTCCTTTCATCCCTTCAATGGTCGGCGACCCGTGCGCGCGAGGATAAGTAAGTTATGGTCATTAATGTGGTCGAGAAAGGGGGGTGGGGGATGCATCCAGTTAGATGGTGTCCGGATTAAACATGAGGAAGGCTGAATGACGCACAAGTCTTCCGTGCGCAAACTTTTATTTACACTTTTAAAGAGGTTCGGAGTCATTTACGCGATTTTTCCCGATACTAACCAACAGTAAAGCCCACGCGAACACGCCCGGAGCGTGTTCTAAAGATAACTGTGACTCTTTTTTGTGTTTTCCTCTCTGAAACTTTAAAATCTCCGGTTTCCCTGGCGGTGTGCTGGGCGGTGCGCATAAAGGTGAAAGTGGAGTAGTCTATAAGCTAAGTTAACCCTGCTGTTTGTTCAAGGAGGAAATTCTTCAGTGACCTCAGGCTTAATTTAGATGTCTGTTTCCAAGAAAAGCCTGAGTTTGCAATCATCAATTAAGGGCTCGATAAATTAAGCTCTCATGAGCGAGCGCTGGCCCTTTCTCTTCTCTGTCTGTCTGTTATCATCTGTGTGTCTGCGTTTGTGTGTGTGTGTTGGTTGGGGCTCTTGTGACTTTGCTTTCTAATAATCAGCAAAAACGATGACTGGAGTCACTATCAAAGCTTCAAAGCTATAACTAGTCTCTGATGTGATGTGTAAATATACATACATATATGTGTGTGTGTGTGTGTGTGTATGTGTGTGTGTAGTACACTTTGTTCTAGTTCAATTAATTTAATCTTCCCTGTCATTTTTCCTCGTGTTTACCCCAAATTTCATTAAAATAACAAGTTTAAATTTACTTCGCACCAGGCCATATTGTTTCTGTGGGCAGGAACTGGATTAAAGTGAAAAAGTTTCAGTTAGATGTTGAGTCAGAATTGAGGAATGAGTGGTGTGCACTGAAAGCACATTCACAATTGAAAGTATTCTGACAGGAGTGCAGATACTGTGGCTGTTGTAGGGGCCAGACAGAGGCGTGCAGAGACAGATTCTTGACATGTAACATGTACTAATAGCCTCGGCTTAAATTAAAAGCCTTGAGGGACTTTGCCCTCTCCAACCCATCTTAAATCCCAACCCCCCTCTGGTTGCTTCCGACCGCTGATTCTCAGTTTCTGCCGTCAAAAAAGTGCAAAAACACATGTAGACATCTGTATCCGTGAGCTGACTTTACTGTTTTTATAACTCTAAAATCCTACACACTGGGTTTATATGATCAGCTTACACGTTTCCGACCTTGTTTTTCCAATTATCTTCACCAGCACACGGATGCTTACCATAATTTCTAGGACTAACATACCAAGGTAAACTAAAACAGTGTGTAGCAGGTCTAAAACAGCTCACCGGTTGGTTAGTACAGTGGGTGCATGGAAACAGGGGACTTTAATGTTCTTTTTTTTGATAACATAATGTAATATACTAACAGTTGGAATAGTTTTTTATTTTATTTTAAAAATTGAAATACTGAATAGGTTCACTAAATTAATGGAAACCCGTGAATGGAACACATTATTCAAAATAATAAACATGCCCAAAAAAAACCCAAAAACAACAACCCTGACTTGTTTAAGAGCTAAAATTAATTCACGGGGAAAATGTGCTTCAAATTGCACTAATGAAATAATAATTTACAGCAAGCCTCTACAACGGTTTAATGCCTAATAACTATTCATGGATAATTAAATATAATCAGGAAAATATTTTTCGGGCACAATAAAACCATCAGGATAATGGAGGTGATGTGCCTGAGAATATGTGAACAAGGAGCAGGTGTGTGTGAGACACACGATTTAGTTTCTGCTGCTGCCGCTGCATCCTGGATTCACGGGGTAACAGTGTGAAAAAAACACATGTTACAGTATGTTTTTCTATATGTGTGGTTGCCTGCATATGTTGCGTGAGGCGGGGATGGCTCGCTGCATCTGCATATGTGTGTGTATGTGTGTGTGTGTGTGTGTGTGTGTGTGAGAGGGAGTGTAAAGGAAACATAGCGAGGTTTGACAGGCTTTGTGGCTGCGGAGGGAACACTGCAGCGAGCAGACAGCCCGCAGCCTGCTGCCACCAGACGCTGCTTTCATTAATTACTAAATAAAAACAAATTGTGAAACTAATTGAAAGGAAGGATAATTCATTTCCACCTACCAGAGGCATTATTCAATTACCTCGGTGTGTGCACCCTCCTTCTTGCTGTCTCTTAATTTTAACTCTCGTCTCGTGCAGCCAATAGAATGCTTAACAAGTGTGCCGGAAAATGTTTTAATTCAAAAACTGTGCAAATGAATTACTCCACTGTCACCGAGTGCGAGTTCACTGTAATTCCAAGTGATGTGCCACTAAGCCTCAAATATATATGTATACACGCACATGCACAGCAATATAATATCTCGCTTGTCACGTCTGTTGTATTTTATGACTTGCAGCATGAGGAAAATGGAAAATGAGTCTGACTAAAAACCGGCTCTTGGATTGTGTTAAACTGTTGTCAGCGCGTTAGCACGTGCGGCAACATGGGATGTGAGACAGCAGGTTCAGAAGTGTTAGGTTGAATCACTTGAGGGACCAAATTTCAAACAGATTCATATCGGGTTGAGCATTATGCAAGAGAATTGTGGTCAAATTCGTGGCCGCCAATTGACTAAAAACACGCCGTCAGAAAACTGATTTCAAGAAGGATTCCTTCACCATTACGTGCTTGCACACCGCGTTATTTCTGAGTATCTGAGCTCCTGAACACAGCTGTTATTTTGGAGAGAATATATGTTTTTATCATCCTGTGTTCTCATGCAAGCAATCACAAACACACACGCACACATATACACAGAGCCAGTGCTTATGCACACTTTGCCCACTTGGTTGCTGGGAGAAACGACCCCTGTGGGTGTGTTGTGCTTTCGCAATGACTCTAAAGACGATTTAGAGAGTACAGAGAAGGGTGTAGAGTGGGAGCAAGGCAAATGCTAGCAAACTGCTCCGACTTAAATACGTCAGTCAGCTTGCAGCCAGTTTACAGATTCTGGCTGAGATTTTAAAGATGGAAAGTCTGTTATGAATGTGAGAGGTTAGAAACAAGAAGGAATACTTCAAAAGATGCAGAGGGGTACAAATGAGGGACAGGTGCGTGATGTCTTATTAGAAACCACAAGACTCAGAAGTACAAGAAACCAAAAGAAAACCAAAGACCAGAACGGTTGAAACTAGAGGAAGACTTTAATAATAGCTGTGGGTTGTTGTTGTTTTTTTTACCTTGAAGAAGCCTTTGCAGCCCTCACATGTGCGTACGCCGTAGTGCTGGCAAGCCGCGTTGTCTCCACACACCGCGCAGGTTCCCTCTCCCTGTGGGCCACGCGGGGGTGGAGAGGGCAAGCTGTCTGCTAGTAGAGGGCCACAAGGTCCAAGTGCCAGGGAGCGAAAGGCGAGGCTGCTGCTCCCTGCTCCGCGGTGCAGCTGGTACAGAGGCTGCTCCAGGGGTGGGACGTGAGGATGGGAAACTGATGAGGAGGAGGAAGAGGAGGAAGAAGAGGTGCGAACCAGCCCTCCTCCCAGGCTATCATAACCGCCGACGCTGCCTCCACTGTGGGGCGGCGAATGCTGGTAGAAGTGCGGAAAACGGGGGGACTTGAGGGGGCCGGTCTCCAGGCTGGAAGGTAGAGAGTGAGGGTGAGAAGGAGCCAGGGGGTGCTCCTCCCCCCACAGGAAGGAGGTGCCCGGCTGGGGTGGCAGAGACGGGGTTGTCGGAGTGGAAGGGGGAGACTGTTTAAAGTACATGGTGGAGGAGGACATGGCCTCCAGGGGTGGGGCAGTTGGGTAGCTCTCCTCCTCCTTTTTGATGGTGGGCCTGTGCGTGGGCATCTGGTAGAGGCACGAGGACTTAGGCTCGTAGCTCCCGTCCACAAAGACATTGAAGCTTGGGAGAGAGGTGGTGGCAGCTGCAGAGATCTCACCCCCACCCAGGTCCAGCTTGGTGTAGTCGGGGGTCATGAGGTCAGAGCTGTAGCTTTCAGTCTGGTAGCTGAAGGACTGGCCAGAGTAGGCTGAGCCTGGAGGGGCCGGCCCGTACTGAGCCTGCACACAGGGCATATCTGTCGGAGGAAACAGAGCACACACGCAGGTTAGAGCTGCGTGCCACATCAGACCACATGTATCCCAAAAGCTTCACATTCCCATGTTAGTAGGGCACAGCTATATAGCAACAATCACTGGGCAGAGAAGAAGAATTTATGACATTTTACAAACAGTGATTTAATCAGAGAAGCAGGGCTTCATGTTCAGTAAATCTGCAGGATACAGGCAGACTCTATTGGATGCACATGCACACAATGGTAACACTAAACAGGGTCAACCATTAAAAAATTTAAAAAAAAAGAAACAAAAACAATCTGCACAGCTCTATTGGAACAGGCAGTTTGCAGAGTGTTATAAAAGTTTTTCTTTCAATGAAGAGGCTGTGAAAAGCTTTAACCAAATCTTTCCATTTGATGCAATTTACACCCATTTCTGCTGTTAACACTTCTTGCACTTGCACTGAGTAAGTACAGCAAAAAAAGGGAAAAAAAACCCTGAATACTGAAACACACACACACACACAAAACTTCGAACATTGCTGATTTTCCTAGTTAGTCAAGTTAGAGAAGCTGCAGTTGATGATCCTGAAGCTCAAATACAAGAATCTGTATGTGTGTGTATTCTGGTTAGTCAGATGGAAAAGCAGATGAGATAACATTAAATAATAATGGAACCCCATGGTGGTGCTGGATGCTTGCTGCACAGACCCTTCACACACACGCGTGCACGCACACCCTCTCATGCACACACACACTGAGATAAAGACGGACACGCAGACACAGATATTTCCTCTAACTGCTGCAGACGCCAGTCGACATGTCTTCACTTTCCCCCCTTGATTTAATTCTGCTACAGCAACAGGCCACCAGCTCATCGTTTCTCTGTGTGTGTGTTTGTGTGTGGACTATATGGTCTTATCAAAACTCTTACGTAATATACAACGCCTGCGTTTGCGTGCGTCTGCACGTGTGTCTGTGTGTGTGTGTGCATAATAATAATCAGTCATGAGTGTCAGCGCAGGCAGGGTTTTGTGGTGTTTGCTCGTCTCTCCCGAGCAGGGAACTGTCAACACTGCGCTGCTCCCATTGACGCCCAGCATGCGCGCGCTCTGCCGTAATCGCCCCCTTTCCCTGTACGTCATGTTTGTCTAGTCAAATACGGGATATATCGTTCCTGCAGTTGTTAAAGCGTTCACAAATACCTCCGCCAAAGCGGTCTCACCTGAACTTTTATCTATTTATAAAGGAAGAAAAAAAAGGAAAATAGTCCTGATTTTTTATATATATATATATATATATTTTGAGATAAATAATTTTTTTTTAAATTCTTTGCTATAAATATTTTTTCTTTGAAATAATTCTTATTAATTTTTATATTAACCATTAAATATGCAAGCATAGTGTATCAGCAGGCTCATTAAGCTGCTACATTTCTTTCCTTCTTTTTATTTTAATTGAGGATATGAGTCAAGCTGTAGGCATACGTGTGCTTGACGTCATAAAGATTTTCTTTCTTCTTCTGCGAGTGACCAGCTCTTCAACCCACGTGGAAAAACACACATGCAGCATTAAGGGCGTCACGGGGCCTTTCTGGGCTATACCTAAAGACCTTTTTTTTAAACTGATTAGGCATCAGAGGAGGAAGAGAACCAGAGAAAGAAAAAACAAACTGAAAAAAGGAGAGTACAGTGGTAAAGGTTGCGGCTCTCTGTGTTGTGTCAGTAGGTCAAGCCTCAGATTAGGGGCCATCAGTGTAGAAATGTGTGCAAGACTTACTGCACGTGGCACATGCACATGTTTATATTTAAATATGGTAAATTTCTGGTTTTTCTGTGAAGAGATGAAAGAATGAGAGAGAAAAGGGTAGGAAGGCTACAAAGTAGTGTGATGTTTGTCTGTCGGGTGAGTAAAGAAATTCCTTCTGGTACACACACACACCACCACCACCACGTGTGTTCATCTGCTTATAATGTTCACGATGTCAACATGGACTTGTATATGTTCATTCTACCAAAAGCATACACCCTTATCCTGAAAACCTGTAAAACCACTCGTCTCTGCGAGTGTCTCACCGTCTTCGTTACTTGACTTTTGTTGGCGTGTCTAACCTTCACTCACACACCCATGCTTACAAACTTGCATCCTCTTTTACACACTCACCACAAGTGCAAATAGAGATCCATCACCGGAGCTTCTTAGTTGTTAATGTCACCAAAGCAAGTCAGTGTAGGGGATTCTCAAAAGCCCAATACCACCATCGGGTCGCCTTTATGACACTTGCATTGAAGCAGTTGTGTGCATATGTGTCTGTTTGTGTGTGTGTGTGTGCAAGCAAGAGGACAGACAACCCAAGCAGAGTCAGACATAGGTGGTGCAGCATAGTGAGGCAAAGGGAAACAGTCTCTAACCTCGAGGTGTGCATTTCAACTGGACAAACTGCAGCTGTTCCAATAACTGAGTGCGCTTGTTCATTGTCAGAATGCCATAGATCTAACAAATGAAAACATGAAGGTGCAGACATAAATTACAAAAACACAGATTTTCTTTATATCAATAAACTATAAAACATTTTCGGGGAGTCAGCGTCCCACAGCGTAGAGTGATTTTTACTTTTTTCCCTTTACACTGTGCACACAAAAATAACAAAAAAACAAAACACAAAGCACAGAGACACACTTACACAACCAGTTACTTCAGGGTATACAGTGTAGTTTCTATATTGAATTACAATGGACAAAATTGTGTGTGTGTGTGATTGTATTATATATAAATATATATATGATTCACATTTCGCCTCCAGGTTTTGGATATAGGTGTGCCTGGCCTCAGAATTGTCTTATCTTAATGACTGAAATGTCAGCTCACTTGCCAGACAAAATCAACCCACACACATACACATGGGCTCACGACTGCAGCACAAACAGATCACCAGAACATTCAGGAAACTTCAACTCATATTTTGACCTTTAACAGGAGAGCATAAATATACACATAAATAAAACGACTGCCTACCAGCTGATATTCAGATCTAACCCCTGTGTTTTAAACTACTAAATAAAAATTATATATATGTATATATATATTTTTTTCAATTTTTGGGAATGTTGTTTTTTTCTTTTCCCCCCACAATAAAACAATCACCCGACTCATATCACCAAGCACTCCACAACAGCAACACGAAATGAAAGTGTCAGAGCCGCTGCACTCGTTACAAAAGCATCAGATGAGAAAGAGATTAAAAAAGAAAGAAAGAGAAAAAGGGCAAGATGAAAGTGAAGACAGACTGAGCGCTTGTTTCTGTACCTGGTGAAAGAGCCTCGCGCTGAATGGTGCTGGGTGTCCGGGATTTAGGGGTGGCGTGGCTGCGGCCGGGGCAGGGCTCCTGGAGCGGGGAGGGCTCGGCGGGCGTCGCTAAGGAAGTGTCCGACCGCCGGGGCTCCGAGCTCGGCTGGGCGCGCTCTTCCGAACCTGTGCCTGGGTGAGACATGGCTGTGTTAAAGCCAGTGGCAGGCTGAATAATCAGGTAAGTGCCTCAAACGCTCGTAAAGACTTAAAAAAAAAAAAAAAAAAAGATTACTCAAAGAGAAGCGAAAATTTATTTTTTTTTCTCCCTCAAGAATGGAGACCTTTGTTTAAATTGCTTCCACAAACTTCAGCAAATTCAAATTCGGTGTTCAAAATTTCCTCACACTTTTAGAAAAAAATCGGACAGAGAAACATTTTTGTACAATTTAAAGACAACCAGCAAAGCTTTCGTTTCATCTCAAAAGCAAATCGTTATTGGCACAAAAATCTCATCTGAGAGAATCAGTCAGTTTATCGGGTTTAAAAGCAGTAAAAAGAGATAACAGGGGATGTAAAGCACTGCGCTGAGACGGCGCAAATTCAAATAACTACCAGTGCACACGCTGGAAGGCAAATTAGGGATAAGATTTAGACTTTTACATCCAACACAGGGCAATTCTGACAATAAATATGTCACTGAGTGCATCCTACAAAGAGAACCACAACTGAGGACTTTGGGTTCATTTCAAAACTTTGCCTACGTGGGCGACAGGTTTCATTTTAGCACTAACGTCTTCGCCATTATTATTATTATTATTATTATTATTATTATAATTACTGCCTAATAGATATTTTGCACCGTAAAACAGAAATTCCACCAGTCAACAAACTATGCACGACTTCTGAAACAAAATAATAATAATGAAAAAAAATCATAATACAGACCTACAAAAGTGACAACTTTTATAAAAGCAGCTTGCGCCAGTGCCTCCGGGCCATCGCTTTTCTTGCCTCTGATCACCGCCGCATTCGCCTGCTCAGGGTTCATCCAGAGGGGAGAGAGAAATCTAGAAAACTGTGAGTCGGACCTGAAACCAGACCAGCGGGCTCCCGTGCGCCGTGCGCCTCCGACTCCCTCTCACTGCAGCAGGGTGCACCGTGGCCGGAGGATTTCAAGGCCCAGAGCGCCCCCTTTCTGTAACACACTCCTATATACTCTATCTCTCTCTCACTGTGGCTCTCTCTCCGCCACACATAGACCCCTCTATGAGACGGTCAAGTTGAGAAGACCACGCAGTCTCCCTGTGTGTATCGCAAAACAGCTTGGTGACAACCCACAACCCTCATACGGATCAAGACTAGGAGCACCTGCAGCTTCATGTCAGTAGCCACTTTTCACCAAACTTTAAACCACTTCTCAAAGGATTTACTGGACACCCACGAACCCCCTGTCGGTGGTTCTTTTGTCGGAATATGGCTCTTATATAGATGTAATCCCTCCCAACAGCCCCCAAATAGGTTGGAATAAACAAAAAAGCACAAACCAGAATAAATAGACAAGTCAAGCTGTATAACATTTATTTGATTAAGGCTGATTTGGAACAGTTAAGCCATTATTCAATTGTGTATGGAGCCATTTGAGCACTGAGAGAAAAAAAGAGACATCTTTAGGCCTGAAAAATGATTTTGTTACAGTAACAGCACAAATGGGAGTCAATTTGAAATAAGCTGAAGTCATCTCATTCTTACATAAAGTTGTGAAGCTAAACCCGTAACTGCGTAAATACGCTCTAATCAGAGCCTCCGAGGGGAGTTAAAGAGATGAAGATGAAGTGTTTTTACTTCAAACAAACTTATTTTTGTACAAAGTGAGACATTCTGCCTTTTTCTAACTTTTTTTTTTAATGAACCCGCGGTCTCCCCCTACTTTATTCTCAGACCGAGCCGGCCGGTGGGGCTCTGGCCCTGCGCGCACCGGTAACCAAGAGAACGACAAAAGAGCTGTAAAGCACGCGCCCCGGAGCGCCGGTAGCCCCCGGTAGCCCCCTCGCACCAATAACCCCGGACAGCGCGAGGCTTCCAGCAAACAGAAACAGAGAAAAGAAAGGACATAAAGGAGAGAGCAGAGAAATATGCGAGTAGCCTAGCCTACTGTAAATCAGCCCTGAGTGGGAGCCTGTCACTAGAGCCTGCGTGCGCGCGTTCGTGCGTGTATGCGTAAACCTGAGTGTGTGTGAGGGAACTGAGGGGGGGAAAGAAGGTAAAACCAGCAACTTACTTAAGTACCTCAACCCGGTGTTGTCAGCTTATTATTATAAACTATGTGACTGGCCAAGAGGCACGATAGCTGCTGGAGCATGCTTCACGGTGGGCTTCAGAAATGTTGTTGTGGCTTTATGGTTGAGGGTGTTTTTCCTGCGATACATGGCTCATGAAATTCGGAGGCAATTTGAGTACCAGTGTATCTTGGGCCAGTTTTATTATATACGGGTTAATGGTAACTGTACGCTCACTCCATGTTACTGAAGGTTAAATCATAGCGCAGTCCGGCACAGACAGCCGAGCGATATCTAAACTCAAACACACCCACAACCTCACAAACACGCACTTACACACATCTATGTATATAAATACATTTTATAAAAAGACACCACCCCCTCAAAAAATT